AGCTGAGAATTCCAAGATCAAAGTGCTGCACAAGAGATCTAGTGTTTGAGGAAAACCATCTTTCTGGTTTGTAGGTAGCTGTCTTCTCATGTCTCACATGGCAGAGGGCAGAGAGAGAGAGGAAGACAGTCTTTTTGTCTCTTATGATAATGGCACCAATATCAAGAGGACTGTGCCCTCATGACCTATGACTTCATGATCCAAAATCCTCGTCTCAAAATAATATCACAATGGGGATCCAAGCTTCAACATACAAATTCTGGGGAACACAAATATTCAGTCCCTAGCACCATGGTATCTGAAATTTGTGAAAATAAAAATTGCATAAAGTAGGCGCATACACAACACACACACACAATGAGTCAATCATAAGGTTTTCTATTTCACTTATTCTTTTTCCTCCTTCAGGTTTTATTCTTTTGCTTCAACTTTTTTCCTGCTCTTTCTGCTCAGGTGCTTTTCTTATTCTCTCTTCATCTTCTTATAAAATTATGACTACTTCCTTTTTTGCTGTCTATAGAAGAAGGCATAGGAAAGCTTTCTGGGAAAATCTAGAAAAGCTTCAGCAAGATCCCCATTGTTTTCAGTTAAGAACTGGTTGGGTAATTCTCTAGCCAGTTTATCAAAAAGACACTTTTGGGGTGTAGTCAGTGATTGGCGGGGTGGCCATTTTTGCTCATACACAATGAGCTCACCTTCTATTGTCATTTGTGGGTGCCTTGTGGGTATCTTATTAGGAAAAAAAACCTCTTTCCTTAATAATCTGAGAAACTCAACTCAGGGGGGCACTGCTTAAACATTTTTAAGGTTTAGCTGTAGTAAGAGTTTATGGAAGATTGAATGCTAAATGGCCCTTATTCTCTATCCATCTTTGTATCCACCTTTTTGCAATGTGACTTGCCAGCTGCTCCTTCAATCCTTGTATATGGGCTGGCCTTGGGACTTGCCTTAGCCAATTAAATGAGATGGAAGTGACAATGTGTCAGTGCCTGCATGCTTCTGCTCTGTCTTGGACCCCTCTGTGACGAACCTTAGCAAGCCTGAGGCAGGTTGAGAAACCACAGAGAGAAAAGTTCAGATGTCCCAAATGAAGACACCCTAGACCAGCCTACAGATGACCCCCATATAGTGAGAACATCTAGCCAAGATCAGCAGGTCTTTCTTTCTTTTTCTTTTTTAAACATTTTTAATATTTATTTACTTTTGAGAGAGAGATGGAGTACAAGTGGCGGGGGGGGAGGGTAGAGAGAGAGGGAGACACAGAATCGGAAGCAGGCTCCAGGCTCTGAGCTGTCAGCAGAGAGCCCGATGTAGGGCTCGAACCCACGGACTGTGGGATCATGACCTGAGCCGAAGTCAGACACTTAACCGACTGAGCCACCAAGGTGCCCCCAGGTCTGTCTTTCTAACCAGTTTAGTTGGCATATTGCTAAGTGTCTGGTGTACGGAATTAATCAGTCAGTATCTGCTGAATGAAAGAAGGCTCAAAGGTCTTCTTGAGTAAGAGCAGTACCTCTAGCGAAGCTTGGTTAATACTTGAAGTGTCTCACTCGCTGGAAAAGATTTTTCTGTCTGTATCTAATATTAATGTAAAAATAGACCTATTTTGGGGCGCCTGGGTGGCTTAGTTGGTTAAGCATCCGACTTTCGCTCGGGTCATGATCTCACGTTCGTGGGTTCGAGCCCCGCGTCGGGCTCTGTGCTGACTGCCAGCTCAGAGCCTGGAGCCTATTTCAGAGTCTGTGATTCCCTCTCTCTCTGACCCTCCCCTGCTCATGCTGTCTCTCTCTCTCCTAGAAATAAATAAAAACATTAAAAATTTAAAAAAAAAAATAGACCTATTTTATCCTTCTGGGAAGAAAGATTTTTTTTTCTTTCCCCTCTTCTGTATAGGTGATAGTGTTTCAGAGCAAAGTGAAAATGGACACACGTTTATAAATGCAATAATATAAGGTAAACAGGACACGTTTGTTAGAATCACTCTTTGAGACGTGAACTTTGAGTTTTCATCTGAATGCTAAAGGTGGTTGTATGTCCACTCATCTATATTTTCTTAACTGGAGGTCCTTGTGAGCAAGGCCACAGACCTGAAAATGTCAGCCTGAGTTTAGAACATAGATCCTGTAATCCATCCTGACTCACAAAGCTTGGCGTGGGGGGAAGACATATTTTTTTTTTATTAAACCTCGACCACGTCCCGAAGTTTATCAGACTAAAAGCCAGCTATAATCTCAAGTAAAAGGGATAGGAAGAAGAGCATAAATACTCTTATTTTTTTCTTTTTAGATCTCTGAGAATCACTCTCTTAAAATTGAAAGAAATTTCTTTAATTGATATTTTAAAAGAATCCAAAGTTCCAAAATTCACGTCAAAGCCCATGTCTGGCCAATTGTGAGAAGATTAATGTTTCTAAGACATAAATAGAACCATTTGGCATACGTCTGGGGAAGCTTTTTTAAAACATGCAATCAACATTTAATAAATGGTGTCCTAGAGACAAGAATAAGATAATTTACATCTATTCCTTAGCAACTTGCTCATACGGAGGAGGCAGATTACATAGTAGATTGTATACCTGCTCAGCATCCCAGATAGTTTCAAGGGGGTTCTGATTTGCAAACAAGGAAGTTGCTGAGATCCCAGGATAGCCCACGGGGTACAGCTGCCCAGAGAACTGGTCTAAGGTCAGCCATTGTGCTTCCTTTGCACACATTCGCCTGTCACTCTGACAATTCGACTTCCATCACATTAATAACATCACGTTCTTTATTCATCTACCCTTAAGAAAGGATTTACCCCAAAAATATACCAAGCTTAATTTTTTTAATTTTTAAAATTTTATTTGAAAAATACAATACACAGCAGAGAATTATGTCTTCCCCTACTGCTCTTTCACAGAGGAAACTATGGTAAATGTAACTGATATTTGGCTAGGATAGATCCTGAGAAAAGAGAGGCCCAGTTAGAAGTGGAAAAGACAAAGTCTGTCAAAGAAGGTTCACCTCTCTTTTAACATAAAAGAGCCTTTTAAATAATCTTAGGATTCAGATGAAACATGTGCAGAATTTCTGCCATGCAAACAGAGACTACTAAAATTTCCAGGCTCACCAATTTATACTGATCTGGGCCCCAAGTAAGTAGAATAAAAAGATGTCTGTATCAGAAAAGTATGTGTTTGCCTGCTTTACTAAACTACATATGTACATATTTACAAATTAATAATTTCTTAAATGTATTTTTCATTATTTGTAGTGATAGCTTCGTGGTTCAGGGCTCTTTACCGGCTTTGGCCCTAAGCATGTGTATCTTTTTCTTCTTCTGGATTCCCTTCATGGCATGACCATTCAATGTCCAATCTTGAGCCCATGAAATTTAATATTAGAGATGACTTTACTCTGATCCTGGATAAAACCTGGGTTTCTGAGGAATTTATAACTCTCGCATTTGGACCACGTTTAGCAAGGTGCAAAGACAATATTTGCATATGAATATGTAGCTAAGGCTTCCAACAGGAAAAACATCCCAAACTGGCTCCTTGGAAAACTGATTCCAGAACCCACAGAACTGATTTAACTCCAGAAATCTTACTGGTAATCCTGCCTCCGAAGACATTACAATCATCCTTTTCACATCCATTCCCTGTAAGTGAATTCCCCATTACTGTTATTGCCTTAAAAAGTCATTAAAGACGATGAAGCCTTTCTAACATTTCGTGTGTTTTAAATTTCCAACAAAGTTGAATTGCTATACAATTCTGAATTTGGTAGAATATTGAGTTTTCTGCTTTTGGCCCTAAGAAAATTGTTTTAATTCCCGTAGTGATGGAGAAGAGCAAGTAAAATCTATTTGGGGAATAACGGACAAGTCTTTGGTTATATTTATTTGCTGATTTCTGTTGAAATTACAGAGAAAATTTTAAGTTTATTTTCTTTAATACTGTCAAGGTTAGGGAGATTCATTTCAGTCAACTAACTACTGCTCATGTAAGACAAAGTTACCCAGGGGTGCTTTAAAGATTGTGAAGTTATTGTAAAGGAGACCATTTTATGGTGTAATTCTAGCCCCATCATCTTCCTTATATTGATACGATTTAATCCTTCATTCGAGACGCTCACTGTGAGTTATGTCATCGGGGCTTTTCCCGAGGGGTAGGGCTCGGAGCTCGGAACGCGGAGGGGTGGGGTGAGGATCACGGGAGAGATATCTGATTTAGGTTTCGACTTTACAAAGCACCTCACTTCTAGACTCTTGACATTATTTTTAAAGAAAATTAAAAATAAGTTACCATATAATTGTATATCTGAAAAGTGTTCATTCTTAAAATATTTAAAATACAACATAGCTCTTATAACTCTATTTTGGTATTTCTTCATTTTTTAAAAAACATAGGTAGTTGTCCAGGACTCTGAAACATTTTGACATGTCCAAAATGATACGATAGCTGTGGTATTTTTGAAAAGAATACCAGTTTCGGGTCAGAAAACCTGAATTTAAATTTTAACTGCCTCCTACTAGTTGTATGGAATTGGGCACATTGTTTACCTTGACTCGGCTTTATTTTTCTCACTTATAAACTGAAGCGATTTTCAATGATTACACAGGGTTACTGTAAGGATTAAATTAAATTATAAATGAAAATGTACTTTATAAACTATAAAGTACTATAAAAATGGAAAGTAAAGTGCGTTAACCACATTTCTGGAATTTATAGATTATTAATTATGTCAGAGTGTGGTTCCTTCCTGTTTTAAATTATATGGAATCTTGACTGTAAAAAGCCTAAGAATGGAGACTTTCACCCCTCTTGAGATGCTTTTGTTGGTGGAAAATTTCTCAATATGAAGCAACGATTGCTGACTTAGTCACTTAAAATATCCTAAACACTGCCTGCATTATTCAAAAGCCACAAATCAACGATTAAACCACAATTGTCAGGAACAGAAGTCCAAATAAATAATTTTTAATTATGATACATTACTTATTACAGTAAAAATTGGCATTTTCCCCTTCAAAAGCAGAAGCACCAGTCTTAGAATGTATAGTATGAATGGTATTTTAAGTGAAATATAGCATAATATTATGTGCAAACATTATTTTAGTATAGAACATACTTTCTAAAAGTAACTTCACACACTGAAATCTGTTAGAATGGAAATAATGTCATGCTGAATAACAACATAAAACCCCCATGACTTTCAAAGTCCACTTCAAATGAAACGTGGTATACTGCTGAATAGGCATAAGAAGAACTAAAAAAAATTTTTGCCCCAAATGGAGGGATTTCTTATACAATATGATTTGTGTAAAGGTTTCTTTTCACATAGTCTCAGTGATTCTGTGAGAAACTAAAGTGAATGTTTTATTTAAGAACTGATTTTTTTCATTCGGTCATCACATTTTATTTAACACCTACTTTGTGCGAGGCTTTGTTGTAGGTGCTTGGGAAAAAGAGAAGAAAGACACAGCCCTGCCCTTGAGGAGCTCACAGTCTAGTGGGGGAAACAGATAAGTTGACACTGATTTTAAAATTATAAAAATTATTAGACAACTTTATAAACTTCTTTTGTAATCAAACAAACTTTGGGTGTTATGAATGGATGGTGAAAAGGGACGATGTCCAATGCAGTGACAAACCGTCTGCTTCAATATCATGTGACTTCCGCAAAGGCGGTGATGTGGTTCTGAAAGAGAAAAAGGAATTACAAAATCAGAGTCCTGGGAAAACTGGCTTTGCAAAAAATATAGTGCTTTTACAAATAATCATTAGCTTAATATAAAATTGCAGCCCGTATACGTTTAAGTTGCAGAAACATGCATTTAAATTCTATGTATTATTACGTACACTTAACTGCGAATGATGTATTTTATTCAATATTCTTAATTAACCAAATAGATTAAGGTGTTATATTCAAAATTAACACTGAAATTTGGAGAGATAAAAATAGCAGTCCCAGACACGTTAATATTCTGCTCACTGTTAATGGAATTTTAATGCTACGTGTTGGAGGTTCAGATTAATTGCTCCTTTGCATACAGCGAGTCGGCGAAATGCTGACTGAGAGGCTTGTGCTGGTTGACAAAGATCCCCTTAAAGGCTTCATTTGCTTTCTAGTATTATTCTAGTGTTTTCTAGAAATAATTGATACATATTGCTGTGTAAGTTTAAGGCGTGTAGCATGATGGTGTGATCTGCATGTTGTGAAACCATTACCACAATAGCTTTCGTTAACATCTACCTTCTCACAGAGATACAACTAAAAGGAAAAATATTTTCCCTTGTGCTGAGAACTCTTAGGGTTTAGTTTCTCAAAAACTTTCCTGTGTATCATATAGCAGTGTTAGCGAGTCAACATATTTTGCATTTCATTCCCAGTACTTATACCTTATAGCTGGAAGTTTGTATCTTTTCACCACCTTCCTCCAATTCCCCCTCCCCCACACTTTTCACCTTGGATAACTCAAATCTGATCTTTCTTTTTTTTTTTTCCCCTAGGTGTGAGTTTAGTTTTTTTAATTAAAAAAAAGTTTTAGATTCTACATATAAATGAGATCATATGGTATTTGTCTTTTCCTATCTGATTTTTTTCACTCAGCATTATGCCTTTAAGGTCCATCCATGATGTCACAATGGTAAGGTTTCTTCATTTTTAAAGCTGAATAATATTCCATAGTAGGTATATACCACAAGTTTTTTTTATACATCCATCCATCAATGGGCACTTAGGTTGTTTTCATGTCTTGGCTATTGTAAATAATATTGCTATTGACGTGGGGTACAGATATCTTTCTGAGTTAGTGTTTTTGTTTCCCTTACATATATTCTCAAAAGTGGAATTGGTGGATCATGTGATTCTATTTTGAATTTTTTGAGGATCCTCCATCCTGTTTTCCATAATGGCTGCAACAATTTGCAATCCCACCAACAGTGCACAAGAGGTCCCTTTTCTTCCTAATGCATGCCAGCATCTGTCTTTTTGATGATGGCCATTCTAACAGGCATGAGGTGATATCTCATTGTTGTTTAATTTGCATCTCCCTAATGACTACTGATATTGAGCATCTTTTCGTGTACCTGTTGGCCTTTTGTATATCTTCTTTGGAGCAATGTCTTTCGTGTCCTTTGCACATTTTTAAATTAGATTATTTATGTTTTGCTACTAAGTTGTATGAGTTCTTTATGTATTTTGGATATTAACCCTTATCAGACATATGGTTTGAAAATTTTTCCCATTCCATAGGTTTTCTTTTCACTTTGTTCACAGTTTCTTTTGCTGTACAGAAGCTTTTTAGTTTGATATAGTCCCACTTACTTATTTTTGGTTTTGCTGCTTACATAAGGTATCATATCCAAACAATCTTCACCAAGATCCCTCAAGGAACTTTATTCTTATGTTTTCTTCTAGGATATTAATGGCTTCAAGTCTTACATTTTGGTCTTTAATCCATTTTAAGCTAACTTTTGTAAGTGGTGTAAGTATAGGTCCAGTTTCATTCTTTAACATGTGAATATCCATCATCATTTATTTAAAAAAAAAAAACTATCTGGGATGCCTGGGTGGCTCAGTTGAGTAAGTGTCCAGCTCTTGATTTTGGCTCAGGTCTTGATCTCATGGTTGGCGAGATAAAGCCCCAGGGTGGGCCCAGTGCTGTCAGGCTCTGTGCCAACACATAGAGACTGCTTAGATTCTCTCCTCTCCGCCCCTCTCCTGCTCACGCTAGCACATGTGCATTGCCTTCTTTCTCTCTCTCAAAATAAACTTAAAAAAAAAAAGACTATCTTTTCTCCATTGAATATTCTTATCTCCCTTGTCAAATATTAGTTTATTGTATACAGTTGGGTTTATTTCTCAGCTCTTGGTTCTGCTCTGTTGGTCAATTTGGGTTTTTGCCAGTTCCATAATGTTTTGATGACTTATTTCTTTTTCGTATAGCTTGAAATAAGGATGTGTGACGCCTCCTGCTTTCTTCTTCTTTCTCAGTATTTCTTTGGATATTTGGGGTCTTTTGTGATTCCATATAAATTTTAGAAGTGTTTTTTCCAGTTCTGTATAAAATGCCATTGGAATCTTGATAGGGGTCGCACTGAATCTATAGATAGCTTTTAGTAGTAGTATTCACATTTTAACAATATTAACTCTTCTAACCCATGAACATAAGAGTTCCCATTTGTGTCTTCTTTGATTTCTTTCATTGGTATCTTGTAGTTTTCAGAGTAGAGATTTTCACCTCCTTATTTAAATTTATTCCTAGGTATTTTATTATTTTTTTGATGCTGATTTCTTTTATAGAAAATTCATTGTTATTGTATAGAAATCCTAATGATTTTTATATGTTAATTTTGCATTCTGCAACTTTCTAAATTCATTGTTTAGATATAACAGTTTTTGGTTGAGTCCTTAGGTTTTCTCTATATAAAATCATGTTATCTGTAAATAGAGTCAACTTTACTTCTTCCTTCCTAATTCTGATACCTTTTATTTCTTTTTCTTGCTTAATTGCTCTAGCTAGATCTTCTAGGACTATGCTGAATGGGAGTGGTGAGACTGGGTATCCTTGTCTTGCTCCTGATCTCAGAGAAAAAGTGTTCAATATTTCACCACTGAGTATGATGTTAGTTGTGGGCTTGCAATATATAGCCTTTATTATGTTGAGACAGGCTCCTTCTATGACTAATGTGCTAAGAGTTTTATCATGAACGGATGTTGAATTTTGTCAAATCTTTTTCTGTCTATTAAAATGATTATATGGGGGCACCTGGGTGGCTTAGTTGGCTAAGCGTCCGACTTTCGCTTAGGTCATGATCTCGCGGTTCGTGGGTTCGAGCCCCGCGTCGGGCTCTGTGCTGACTGCCAGCTCAGAGCCTGGAGCCTGTTTCAGAGTCTGTGTCTCCCTCTCTCTCTGACCCTCCCCTGCTCATGCTGTCTCTCTCTCTCTCCTTGAAATAAATAAAAATATAAAAAAAAATGATTATATGATTCTTTTCTTTCATTCTATTAATATGATGTATCATTCACATTACACATTGATTCACATATGTTGAACCCTCCTTGCATCCCAGGGATAAATCCCATTTGATCGCCATGAATGATCCTTTTAATGCACTGCTGAGTTCGGTTTGCTAGTACAAGCATACCTTGATGATACTGTAGGTGTGACTCCAGACAACCACAGCAAGCAAATATCACAATAAAGTGAGTCAAATGATGTTTTTGGTGTCCCAGTACATATAAAAGTTATGTTTATACTATACTATAAAGTGTGCGATAGCATCATGTGTGAAAAACAATATACATATCTTAATTAAGAAACACTTTATCGCCAAAAAGTGCTAACCGTCATCTGATCTTTCAGCGAGTCATAATCAACAATTGCAGATCACCATAATAAATATAATCATAATGAAAAAGTTTGAAATATTCTGAGAATTATCAAAATATGAGACAAAAAACATGAAGTGAGCAAATACTGTTGGAAAAACAACACTGATAGATAGACTTGCTCAATGCAGGTTGCCAATAACCTTTAACTTGTAAAAACAAACAGCCCCCCAAAACACAGTATCTTTGAACTGCAGTTGGGAGAATCACAGCAAAATGAGATAGGCCTGTATTTTACTGACAATTTTAGCCTGTATATTCCTCAGGGATATTGGCCTTCAGATTTCTTTTCCGGTAAATTCTTTTCTGGCTTTACTACCAGGATATGCTCACCTCATAAAATGAGTTTGAATATTGTTTCCTCTTCTTTGACCTTTTAATAGAATTTGAGGATTGCTGTTACTTCTTTAAGTGTTTGGTAAAATTCACCAGTGAAACGATTTGGTCTTGGGATTTTCCAAGACCAAGAGTTTTCTCCATTGGGAGATTTTTGATCAATCTCCTGACTAATAATTGGTCTGTTCAGATTTTCTATTTCTCTCTGATTCAGTCTTGGTAAGTTGGCATATAGTTGTTCACAGTGGCTCTTATGATCCTTTAAGTTTCTGTGGTATCCATTATGATGTCTTCTTTTTCACTTACAGTTTTGTTGATTTGGGTCCTTTCTCTCTCTCTTTTTTTTTTGATTAGTCTAGCTAAGGATTGTCAACTTTGTTTATCTTTTCAAAGAACTCTTAACTTGGCTAATATTTTCTATTGTTTTTCTGTTCTTTATTTCATTTATTTCTACTCTCATCTTGATTATGTCCTGTGTTCTGTAACTTTGAGCTGTTTGTCCTTATTTTTCTAATTCTTTAAGAGTTAGGTTGTTTATCTGGAATTTTTCTTGCCTCTTAGCATAGGCATTTATTGCTGTGAATTTCCCTCTTAGAATTGCTTTTACTGCATCCCACATATTCTGGCATGTTGCAGTTCCATTTTCTTTTGTGTCAAGAAACTTTTTTACTTCTCCTTTAACTTCTTCTTTGATCCATTGGTTGTTCTGGAACGTGTTGTTTAATTTCCATGTGTTCATGAATTCCAGTTTTCTTCTTAGTGATTTCTGGTTACATGCCGGTGTGGTCAGAAAAAACACCTGGTATGATTTCAATCTTCTTGAATTTTCTAAGACTTGTTTTGTCTTAGAAATATACAGTCTATTCTAGAAAATGTTCCATGTGTGCTTCACAAGAATGTATACTCTGCTATTGTTGTATAGAATGTTCTTTATATGTCTGTTAGGTCCATTTGGTCTATAGTATTAA